TGAAGTGACCCAGAATGTGTGGCTTCTCGTGTTTTGGTTTGGGGTTTTTTTACAATTTATTTCCCAGTTTTATTAACTGGTCTACTCAGTAAGAAGCCTGACTTTTCAGAACTCATGCTCTTTGTTGATTTCTGGGCCTCTGCACATGAAGTACCTACCCCAGTGCCAGCAAATCCTACTACAAGCAGACAGTACTTGGAAACACTGAAATGACAGAGGGAAAGCAAGAGTAAAGAGTGCATAGACATGGAAAAGATCCTTGTCAGAGAACACAGACTGAGCCTTTCAGATAAGGGTACTGTGCAAAATGACAATCTGGGCTACGTTTCCTCTCTTAAGTTCCTACAGGAAATGGTTTAACTAGTACACCTCAATCCTGTGCAATTGAAACCAGGAAATGAAACCAGTATAAACCTGATTCACTGATCTGGGATGTCTCCAGTCAGTTTTGGTATTTAGAAATCTTAAGAATAGCAACTTGAAATTCTCGTGGTCCTGGCAATCCACTTATCTTTTGCCTTCCCTGACATCAGTGAGCATTGTGTCACTTATTTATGTGGATGCTTGGTCTCGGAGGTTTATAAATTCAGAGGAGCACTTTAATTGAGAACACTGCAATTCAGTACTGGAGATGTTCACAAGGCGAAACCGATACAAACTTCTCTGCTTCCCCTTGACTTTCCACTCGCCTGCATCAGCTCTGGGGCAGGGTCTTGGGAAACCACCACCACACAACCACTGCACTGCAACAGTTACACAGTGTGTGAGGTTATAGAACGCATTCCTGGGCCAGGCCCAGGAGAAGGATCACTGCCTGGCAGCTGGTGCTGCTCTTTGCACTGTAATTTGTCTAATCTTTATCTGTGCTCTGAAAAGCTTCACTTAGGTGGCAAAATAAGGAGGGACATTTACATTGGGATGATGGTGAACATCCACACCACATACCTGAGCCAGCACCTGTTAATCTGCAACCTGAGTCAGGTCTTGAGCTGAATGCTCTGCTACACGAAAGCACTCACATTGTTTCTTTTTTGAAAGCAATTACGAAAGCACTCACATTGTTTCTTTTTTGAAAGCAATTACCTTTCTACTCGAACTCACCTTGCAGTGACTGCCACAGTGGGTGCTGACTGAAAGTGTCTGGGTCTCACTTAGACTGAAAGGTGATGTTGCTCCCCAAGAGACATTCTCCATGAGGAATATGAGCAATGCTACATTTTACACCTTACCTGTCTGACTGACCTGCTGAACCTGGTATTTCCTGGGCCGTGAATGCTATTTTGTACAGTAGTCCAGCACTCCGGGATAGGAAAGAGCTTTTGTATTTCCCCATCAAGCCTTCCAGGAGATCCAAACCAATTAATTGAGATGTATTTTTGAAAGGGGATTAAATGGAAAGAATTTCCTACCCTTAGCTGAACTGAGCACTAGCGAGTGTACTGGCAGTCCAAGTCGTGGGCTAGTATGACATTCTGACCAGCAACCACCATGTTAAAACCACCATAAAATGCTTTAAATTCCTTCATGGCTTATTTTACTTTGCTGCAACATCCCTCAAGATCAAAATTAATCCTTGCTGAAGCTGTATCCTTGCTGTATTAAAATAAAGCTTCATCAAGTGTCTGCAGCACAGCAGACTGCAAGCCAAGATGATGAATGACCTGTTAAAGGCCAAACCACCCAGCTCACCCCACCAGCTTGCTCTGGGCCTCACTGGGATAGTACAAACTAAAGGGCTGTGTTTTTTCCAGTGTGATAAAAAAAAAATTATTACCCATGGCTCTTACAGCATGGTTAATGTTGAAGATCTTTCTAGATGTGGCATTTCACACCCTTGACCTGCACCAGCCAGGCCAGTGGCACAGAGTGATTCTAACTCATGTCACACCTCGTAAGACACATCCATCCTCTCTGTGCTGCTCAGCAACTTCCAGTCTATGCCATTTTTGAAGGGACCTCAACACAGGCATCTCTCCTTGTGAGACAACTTTAGTTTTAGCAACAACCCAAAAAAGAACCCCTCTATGGTACACATTTAGTAGCACAGCCATAGTACCAACGCCCATAGACTCCCTATTCCTTTCTGTGCCTAACTATGAAAAGGATCAGTCCTGTTTGCAGGAGGAAACAAGCAGAGAAGCAGGGGCCAGTGCTGATGTATCCCCAACTGAGTAACTCGCCTTTCTATAACAGGCCACCCCAAAGGAAAACATTTTGTGCAAACACTGCTCTCGTGTTCATCCTCCCAAACATCACTCAGATCTGCTGGTACATTTCAAGCAAATTTGACAGCGCGTCAGTATTTTCGAGGTATTTTGTGCAGACTGGGGAACAGAGAGGCAGAAGGACATGCTCCTCTTCCCTGAGGGTCCCACAGGACAATTCAGAGATTGCACTGCTGATGCAGAGGAGTTTTGGTCACTATCAGGTCACAGAATTTATCATTCACCAGAGAATCTGTCCCAGGGACAAAGTTCCAGCAAAAAAAAATCAGACTTTATTCTGGTATTGCAGGCTTTTTCATTATTATCACCTCCCTAACCTCAGAATGAAGTCCTGGCTTTTAACATTCTCTTACAGGAAGTCACTCCAATTTCTCTTTCCAATGATGTATGGTTGGTATCAGAAAATATGCCACAAGAAAAGCTTATGATACTGGGGGGGGAAAAAAGAACTACTATCTCCATTTAGTAAACACAACAGATCCCACTTCCATTGAAGCCAAATGTTTCATCCACTTCAACAGGGCAACGCAGACAACGAACAGGGAACAGCAAGCAAAAGAGAACAAAGAGCAGAAAAGCAGGAGGCTGGAGCTCACAGGCCAAAAACAGATGGTAGCAAACAAACTGACAAAAGGAAAACACAATCACAAAACCTGGAAAATGATAAGTCTGTGTAGTTAACCCCCTTTCTATTGACCTACAGATTTCTTGAGACAGCCAGATCTGAGACCACCTTCGTCACTGACATGCCACTAATGGAATGGACATTAAAATGACCTTCAAGTGACAACTCACCACAGGAGAACCGTGACAAATGCAGCCAGATAGTCATCTCCACCTTGTCTGCAGACACGAGATGACATTCCGTAATACACTTGTGTCAAAAGAAGGAAAATGCTGGATGGTCTTTTTAATGGGTTTGTCTGTAGCACAGGGACCCACCGGGGATCTAATTTACAGAGGGAAGACTTGACAGAATGAGCTTGCGAGGGAGCTGTGCGTGCGCCTGCATGTGTGCCTGCTGCGTGGGGAAGTTGCCTCAGGAAAGGGCATCCAATTCTGCTTTTTACAGGAAAAATCCCCATATTACTGCAAAATTAAACAAAGAATAGATTTAGGGTTTCTGTTATCATACAAACACAAAACTAAATCAGAAAAACAACAGCAGCCACAAAGTAAACCATAAAAGGCCCTCACAGAATTTTGCAAAGATAAAAGGAAAATGTGATTTCATGTCCAAATATGATGTGGTGAATGAGTGCTATTCTGGATGACACTAGAATTAATGTGGTGGGCAGAACCTAGGGCCACTCAGAAGACTGGGAGTGAAGGGTTTGCCTTCTCCTTACTTCTTTGCAAAGGAGTAAAATGAGGCCTCGGAAGCAGCACAAATCCCACAGAGCTCTGCATTAAACAGTACTAAAGCTGGGAACCCAAATGGCAACAAGCTTTCAGTGTCTGTCTTTTGAGGTGAATGAAAAAAACTCAAGGACAGAGTTTGGGCAAAGCAGTAAGCTGCTGAGAGCACTTTTCTGGGGAAAGACTTGCTCTACTGAATCTCTCTCACGAGGTCAGTAATGTGAGAGACCATCTCACTTCCAAAGGGTAAGACAGACTTGACCCTCAAGGGTTTGGATCTGCACTTCTCGATACTCTGTTATCCAAGATTTCAGGGTGAGTGGTAGAAGCTTTGATGGCACTTTGAAAAGTGATGGGTTCTTAAACCAGATCTGGCACACAAGACTACTTTGACTTGCCACATCAGGGATGACTCCAGAGCATTTTTAAGCCTCCTGTCTGGATCACTGCCACTGGCTGGTGATGGAAGCTCATCTCCTGTGACATTTTCCCCACTTGTACTTGCTATCAAGACCCTTTTAAGCCCACAACACTAGAAAAGGTAGAAGATACCAAATTGGCCCTGAAGCATTCAAGCAAACATTTCAAACACATTTATTCCAACCACAGACACGTCACTGTTTTATACCAACAAGGAGAACATGCCCATTCTCCACCCCTTGAACTTCAGTATTTCTCAGCCTCTTTCCCAAAGGGGCATTTAAAACAAATAGGAATAACAGGAAGGAGGAGGCGCTGGGACAGCTACAGAAAAAGGTTCGTCAATAAATAAATCCCACTGGTATTCAAATGCTCAGCACCAGGGCTGCCAGTGGGCAACACTACCAAGGAGAATAATAATGAATAAATCAATAAGGCCTTGCTAGAGCTAAAGTTTCCCACTTTTCATCACTGTCCCAAATCTTGTGTCATCCAGACATTATATGAACCCCAAACATAAATCCAAGCAGCATTTCTTCTTTGAAAGCCCTCGGGATCCATTTGTTAACCCAGAGCTCAATTCTCTCTGTGGCAGACTCCTGCTCCTGACAGGTAATCTCCCAGAAGAACAACATATGGACCGAGCCACTGGATTACCTACACACAAGTGAAAACACATTTAACAACTGCAACCTGACATAGACTTGGTAAGCAAATTAATTCAAAAAACCCCAAACAGAACAGAAATCATTCACTACATTCATGGAAAGGTTATTTCTCTACTCAAGCACGTGTGTTGTACCTCTTACGGGGGATGACAAATTTTGGAGGAGAGTGGGGGAAACATCAGAATATTTAAACACAGGCAACTTATCACAGTGCAAAAGTCTACAGCAGACTCACTCAGGATCTTCTCACTGCAGGATCGAAGGGCACAAGAAGAACAAACACTCGGCTAAAGGGATACGAATGACCAAGATGGAAGAACACAACTCATTTCAGATACAGAAATGTTTAATGGCGTTAAAGTGCTACTTTAATGGGGACCATATGCTAACATTTAAACACAATTCCACTGCACTGCTAAATATGGTTGTCTTTATTTTTTATTTTATTTTACTTCTTTTTGCCCAACCCTACCTAAAACAATAAAATAAAATCTAAAGGACTGAAATTAACAACCCATTCAAATCAGCAATAAGTTATGAATTTTATAAAGCATTTTTTCCTCTTTTTTTTTTCTTAGTAATGAGGGGTAGTTAAATTACTTAAGGATATACAAAGTTTCAAACAATGCCATAGGTGAAGACTCTATTAAGGTTTTTAAAACTTGGAAAACAAAATAATCCTGGCCATTAAAAAGACAAAAAATAAAAAAGCAAAGCCCTCAAAGTGCAGGTTAGAATGCTTGTCTCGGAGAAAATTAGAAAACATTCGCTATAACAGCTCTTAACAGCACCTGCACAGATAGGATGGCAAGGCCCTTGGGAACAGGACGTGCAGTCAAAACGTTACATTAACATGAGAGACGTGCTGAGCTTAACTAGGTTAACTACTGGACTGGAACTTCAAAAGTCAGCAAAGGGAATGATTCTAAAAAGAAAACTGAAGAAACCCCCACCAAACCTGGCCTCTTCCAGCTAGCACAGCCTTCATCCATTGTGTGCATGGCAAAAAAAGCATCTTTGCATTTCATTGGGTCAAGTGCTTCATCAAAACAGAGATCTTTTCATGGCATAAATTCATATAAAAGACATCTAAGGTTTCATATGGACAAGCTCTAAAAAGACGCATCAGACTTGGGGTGTTTTCCCTCCCAACACATTTACAAATGTTTATCAAAAAATCGCTTCAAATAAAAAGGTCATAGTGGCTCAGTATCTGGGCATGACTTTCTGGTGTGTCACCTCTCGTGTGTGCTGGTTTCGCTCTGCCCTCAGCTGGCTGTGTATGAACACACATCTACCGGGAGACCTGCTGTCGGTGCCACAGCCCGAGGCACCACAGCCCACTGTGTGCTGGTAGATTACAAGTGTGCACCTCCTGCTTTAGCCACGCATCAGAGGTACTCACTTTTTAAATGATGTCCAACAGAAAGCTGAGTTGAATGGTCTTCTCCCCTGAACATCTCTCTTTACTGCCCCTCTCCCCCTGGGCACAGAATGAGACCTTAATCATCATCTTCACTGTTATTCCTAGGCTAAGCCTTCTTAGATTTCCTAGTACATTATGACAGCATTAGATTGTGATAAACTGTAGGATACAGTCCTTTTAGGACCACAAAAGCTCCTCAGAAGGGCCTAAATTAGGTTGTTCAACCTGAATGCAATGTAAGAAATTTTGACATTTCTCAGATCTCATGACAGAAAGAGAGGGATGAGTCTCTAGTATCCTCTTTCAAATAAATTCAAAGCAAAGTGTTTCATCACTAAGGTCTAGATCCAGGTCCCACAGAAACAAATGTATTTCATTGACTTCAAAGGGACTAGTGTTTGGTCTAACTTTTTGCCAGCACAAATTGGGATTGGTAACATGACCAAATGAACAAATATGGGTTTCTGGGGAGGCTTCCTTTACCAAAAAAGCTTTATATACAGGTCTCTCCAGGACTAGCTGTCAATATGTCATTTCTGAAAGAGGATACTGGCATCTCCGACCCAGTCAGATCACCCCAGTGAAATCATTTGCCCTGCACTGTTGTCTCACTTGGTTCTAGGAAGCAAACGAGAGCTTGACACTGGCGCTGGAGTAACCCTCGTCACTCCCAATACTCTGCAAGCTGCTGTGATCATCAATGTCACTGATGCTGGTTGTGCTGATATTGTCCACTTCTCCATGGGAGAACTCTGTGCTTTCAACGTCCACTTCAATCTCTTCTGGAAAGGAAAATGAGAGAAATACACACAGGTGAGCACCACACACCCCACTGCTCCCTTCCAGCCAGAGAGCTGCAGGGACTCCCCCAGCACACGGAATGAAGCAGCCATCTGGCAAAAAGACTTTCAGTGTTCTCCCTGGAATGAAATGGGCTGTGGACGTGATTTATAAAAAGACTTGATACCAGACTGGAGCTTTCACAGGGATTTGGCAAAGGGGTTTGACTCCTCCACATGCAGGCAACACTATGAGCGGTACGTGAGCCACTCCCCACACTGAACTTGTTCCACTACCTCTTTCTTTGTACCTCTACGACCCCAGTACTGGAAACAAGAAGAAATAGATAAAGTCTAAGGCAACAGAGAAAATGGAGCATGAAGTTACCCCCAAACATGCTACTTGCTTGACATTATATTGCCAAAGCCAGGACCACTCCTATAGGGTACTGCAATGCATTACCACGGGAATCTGGGTTACTCTCATAAATGCTGAGCGGACTTTGGAACCTTGTTTCTAAGAATGACTTGAAAAACAAAGATCTAGTTAACCAGGTATCTTGGTTCCCATATTGTTTTGGAATTTTCCAAAGCATTTTTTTTAAGCTACAGACTCACACCCAAACTATACAGCATCTTTGGGTCTGTCAGTAAATATCCAACCATCTACTCTCCCTAATGTTCTCTCCACAGAAGAGATATTTTAAAAAAGACAGTTATCACAATTTATTTAGCCATTCAGATCATCTCTAGCCAGTTTTATCTGAGGAGATGAACTCTATGAGAAGCTTGGGGGGAAAAAAGGTAAGCGGGAAGGTGTGTAAAGCATCCATTCCAGTGCCATTAATACCTTCTTACATTTTCCTTTTTGTGTTGCCAAGAGATTCAGTAGACCAAAAAACACAATGAGTGTTTCAACTTAACCATCATTTTCGATGCCACAGAAATCAGCTCAAGTTGACAGCAACAATTCCTCCAGACTTAGAACTCATGCAAAAATACTAAACTCTCCATATACACGTGTGTGTGTATGTGTGCATGTGTGTGAGCAACCTAAATATCAAATGCCATAAGAAGGGGGTAGCTGAGAGACCAGAAATGGATGAATCTCATGCTCTCACTCCATAGAGTCCTGGGGATTCCATGCCAGTTCAGCCAACACCCACCTCGCTCCGAGTCCGAGTGATCCGAGGAAATGGTAGATCCAATGCTGTCCATTCGTATTCGCTCTATCTCCTGAGGACCCTGTAGTTGTTCCAGTCTTCTCTTTAGGAATCTTTGTTCTCGTTCCAGGTTCTCAAGCTGGTGTTGGCTTCTCCTCTCAGCCTCTTCAAGTTTCTGACATGATCAAATATGACTGAATAATTAGTTTCATCCTCTTCCCCCTCCCTCCCACCATCACTGCCCTTCCACCTGCCTTGCTTAGACCTTCCCAGGTCCCAGAAGGATTTAAGCTGAATCCAACTGCCTCGCAGTCTCCAAGCACAATGACATCTCCCCACATCTTCCCACCTCTCAAGTCCTGATAAATCATAGCCATTAGTACAAAGAGACTCGGAGGACTAGCCTCTCCAGGGGAAACGATGTGAATTGCAGCAGTTTGTGGGTCATTCCACACGGGATCAGACACCTGCATTACCGCATCTGCCCACGAAGGGGCCTCAACTCCCTGAACCAAACGACTCCAGGGTTTGTTATGATCTGCTCCAACATAAAAACGTGCCCTGGGAGCTCTCTGTTCCTTACTGCATGGTTTAGTAGGATTTCTCAGAGACAGTTTTCTATTCAGTAAGTGATTTACATAACCTACTACAGATTTCTTTGATCACAGCTGGGAAATCTACCAGGGCACTGTTCTTTGTTTCCTACGACAAGCACATTGCATAAGGAGTCATTTCAGGGTAACTGTCCCTTTGGCAGCGCTTTTGCTCCTTCATCACCAATCTTCCCTCCCAATATCCTGACCTGCAACCAAGTATTTCAGCCTCTCCCAGATACCGACAATGCTCCATTTTCTTTTCACATTTCACTTTGCCAAAAGTGAAGGCAGAAGAGCACTGGGCTGGCTGTCAGGTTCACACAAGAAGCTCCAGCAAGCCAACCCTGTCTCACACTCTTGTGGTTTGTGCTAATGCTTCGGCAGTGGAAACTCAGTAGCACACCAGGAAAAAAGCTCCATTTCCCATTAAAAATGCAGTCATTTAATAATAGGTATGTTTTTCTTTAAAGAGATGAAGCTGTCAACAAATGATTACAATACAGAACGACACTCCTGCTCTACAAATCTATCATTTCCGTAGTTAACGGAGTTCATTATGGACTCTTCCAACAATGTGGAATTGTAGCTATGATAAGCAATTAACTAAGAGGGCAAGGCTTGCTTGCTCTTTTTTTTTTTTAATTTATTTTTAAAAGGTGTTAGTCTCCCTTCAACAGAGGCAGCAAGGGTGAGCAACTGAATTGCACTTCCCAAGAGCCCACGCTGAAAGCAGCTGGGAAAAGCAGCTCTTACCTTGATATGTGCTTTGGCTTTGTTGAGCAGCCCAAGCGTGGTGTGCCTGGTGCAGTCTGGTCCGAGTGGTATCAGAACTTTCAAGCGTTCTAGACACAGGCGGAGGTGAGCTCGGCTGCAAGGGGACAAGAGCAGGGTCAGAGCCATGCCTCCAGCAAGGGAATGCCATCTCCTTCTCTACTGCCCCACTGTAAGGCAGTTTTTACATTTTCCTCTTTCCACACATCACAAGATTCCCCACCCCACAGCCACCAGGACAGACTGCCACTAAACTATTTACACTTCAAACACCAGCTGCTCATCATTACTTGCATTATTGCTCACCTCTGACAGACACTGTTTATTTTCTTGCTGTCTGGACTGATAATCTGACTCATCTGGATGAACTTTGTGCAGGGCAAAGGCACACAGGCAACCAGTGCAAGTACCTCATGGGTTTCCTCTCTCTGAGCAATCTGCTGTCAGTTTTGCTGAGAAGAACTTCTGCGAAAGTGGTTTTTGAATGACTGCTACCCCCTGCACACTTGTTCGTTGCTGGCTTGGGGACATATGCTAATCTCAACACTGATCCAAACTCATCTAAACACTGGTTTTTTGCATAAAATTAAGATCATCAGTGAGAAAAATGACCAGCTCAAAACACTGAAACAATCCCTGCTGGCATTTAAAGGAGCTAGAGAGACGGTACTTCCCAAGAACTGCACTCTTACTCCTTCCTGGGCCCAGAACTGAAATGCTGCTAGGGGTGCAATGTTGGTGGGAATGAGAGAACCCAAGACCTTGCTCTGGGCAGTCTTCCGACCTTGACTCACGTCTACAAAGACAGGTTCCAGCATGACAGTGTCACTGGTGATATGAGCCACTGCCTGAAGAAACAGCAACACGTTCTAGGGAAAACGGTTCAGGAAGCAGTGGCAAAGCACATCATCCATGGGCTGCACAGGAAAACTGTTCCTGTCTCCTCTTCTGTATAACGTATGCAGGAATGAACAGCAGATTTATGGAAAACTATCGAGTGTGTGTTGTTTTTTTCCCCTCTCTCTCTCTTTCCCAGACATTAATGATTTATGTCCAAAGTTGTCATCCCAATCAATAACACAATGACATCAGCTTTACCATTCACATGCAAGAAACACCAGTGCAAAAGAGTCCTGAAAGCCTATCCCAGCGCCTGCTCATGCACAAAGAAACCGAATCTTAGCCTGATCCATCTCAATGCAGGGGAAGGGGAAAAAAAAAGAAAGAAGAAAAAGAGCATGGACAGTTCATTTCCATTTGTTTTTCAAATGCACTATTGCGCCCAGTTTGAAAGGGGTGGGGGAGAGGAGTCCTAATCAGGCAATTATGTCAGTGACAAGCAAGGATGATTAAAGGTGGAAGGGTCAGGGGTTTTACTGATGAACTGTCAGTGCAGGGGAGTGTTCACTGGCCGTGCTGTAGATGTGAGCTCCTCACGGTTTCTACTATAAATCTCTTTAGGAAGGGTCTATCATTCTGTCTCAATAACAGTCACAGGACTGCATATGACCAGCAAGTGCCTTGAAGAACACGTGTTTTCCATTAAACATTAACAAATGGAGGGGTGGGGAAAAGGAAATCATAATCCAAAAAATCAAACTGAAAAACCAGTAATCACCTCAGTCTCATCTTTTACTTCTCAGTTTGCTCTAGGGCAAACCCCACTGTCATTAAACCCATATGACTGACATGGGGGGATTTTTTTCTACCTGGAAGCTGATTTTCAAGGTAGAGCTTGATAAGGAGTTGTGTGCACCCGCTACAGGTGTTTGCTCTGTGTCCCATGATGACCACAGGGCAAGCAATGAAAAAGCATTGCTGGTTCACACTGGCACTATAGCTCATGTCATCCCTGGACACTGACTTCTTGCAACTAGAGAAAGGAAGGGGAGCAGGATCTTGTGGTCAAAGACATTCTGGGTTTTGAACCCATTTTTGGATATGACACAGACTTCCTGAACGTCCACAGTCACGGAGTCAGAGCTGTCAGAGCACAGCCACCAAGCTGCAGCACAGAGCAGCACGTGTCTCTTCACTGCACAAGTATGAGCTCCAGCCACACACTCCACCTCTGGATCGGCCCAAGTCAAAAACACAGCTCAAACAGAACTCAAAATGTGTGCACAGATTGGGGGGCTCTACCTAAGAAGGGACTGCTACACAGCACTTGCTACAGGTAGGGACCACAGACAGACACCTCCTGCCCTACTGGGCAAGGGCAGCTCCATGGTGAAAAGCGAATTATTTGTGTAACAGAAAACTAACAGCTTGGGGAATCAAAATCTAACCAGTGGCAAAGGTACCACAGTCCACTCCTGAATTCACAGAGAAATGGACAACACATCTATAGCATGAGCTTTGGGCAGAGTCTCAGCATTGGAGGTTTTACCAGGAATGAGGAAGGTGTTGCACCAGGAACTGCAATTCCTGGAACCCGTGATCAGCTTTGGGCAGGAGCAAGCTGGCTGGATTGCTGAGAGAGTGATTAAAAGTATGGCACTGATCTGCCATGTCAGAGCTGGGTTAAGTGCAGACTCAACAAGATCAACCATGTTAAGCACATGAAAGTTATATGCAAAGGTCCAGCCATGAAATAAAACCCTGGACACTTGAAACATTTCCCATTGTGCCCCAGGACCATGGTGGATTGAAGACAGTTACAGCTCTCTGACAAGGCCCTGACAAGGCCAGAGAGAGGGCAAAGCAGTAAGAGGGTCTTTCTCATGAGGACACTAGAAAAGCTGGCAGGGTTACTTCCCCAGCACTTGTGGCCCCAAAGGGGACATTCCTCCAGTCCTGGACCCTTCTGCAGCACCCAGAAGATTGGCCCAGGCTCACACAGATGGTTTTCAGAGAAGCCACTCCTGACAGTGGCTCTGCTGGCCAGTTGTCAAAGGCTGTGTGGCCTGCAGCAGTGGTGATGGCCTCTGCCGGCACACCAGGCATCGGGAGGGGACACCTGCCTGCGACACTGGGAGTGGCGTGAGCTGATAAGCTCATGATGGCACACAGCACAGCTTGGGCTGCAAGCACACTGCAGGGGCAGGTGGTGCTGGCCGAGTCGAGGAAGTTTTGTAAGAGGTTTGACCAAAGCAATTACTTCTGTGCTGGATTTTCCCTGTTGTGCACTCAGAGTTGAGCCACACTGAGTTGTGACACCACTGCAAATGTGAGTGCATTCATGTCTCTAACCCCAGCCTAACAGAGGGCAATGTGCAGGCCTTTCTACTGCCATAGAGCAGCAGGCCAGGCAGGGACTGCCAGGCCCTGCAGCCCCAGCAGCCACCTCTCACTGCTGGGAATGACACTGGTGGAGCTACCCAGGAGCTGCCTGGCCTGGTGTAGCTGGGATAGGGAAGAGCAACCAAGCCTGCAAACTGTGCTGGCACACGAGCGTGTTGCTTTCCTTTAGAGACCAAATTGAACAGCTTCCCCAGCTCTCTCCCCTCCCAAACTGTTCAATACCTTCCTTAACCTTTTATTTTTAAAATCTAACCTCATCACAGTCCCTGGCCTGTCTCAACTTCCAACAGCCCCAGTGGACCAGGATGGGTTCTTAAACCACAGAGCACAAACTGGCAGGCCTGATGCACTGATGGGTGCATCAGAAATAAAACTCCAGAGCCCAGGGAGGTGATGGAGTCACTGTCCCTGCAGGTATTCAAGAAACAACTGGACATGGCACTGAGGGATATGGTCTGGTTGACAAGGTGCTGATTGGTCAAAAGCTGAACTCAATGATCTTGAAGGTCTTTTCCAACCTAAATGATTTTGTGATTCTGTGAAAACCATCACAGAAGACTTAGCTAAAAGACCATTTCAGAGAGAAAGCAACTGCAAATCCATCAGCTTTCTTATCAAGTCCTGGAGTTGTACCTGGGCAGCTACAATTCTACTGGTCAGGCCACGATATGAGGGTCTTTTCCCCTTGTTTACCTGGACTCTGTTGCAACATGGCTTTGACAACGCTGCAGACTCTTGTATTCAAAGAAAATACCAGCATTGTGCAGGCTCCAGACAGAGCCAGACGGCCTTCCATGTAAACCACTGGATTATGCCAATATTTGACGCATCTGCCAATATCTGGAAAAACAAGTCTAAATGCCCATATTGTTATATAACAGAGAAACAACGTGGGTTTGGTGCAAAGGGCTGCTGCCTCTCACTGCCTTGATCCTGAGGAAGACAGAGGATGACAGAAGGAGAATTCCAGCTTCAGTGGAGGCTGAAGCCCTTGCATGGTAGCTGCAGGGATCTCCATGGGAGAAGCTGGAGCCCTTTCTGCTCTCAGAAATAGGCTCTCAGAGCAGCATCCTAAGCACATTGCAGGTGCTGGATGTGCTTAAGAAGAAATCCATGAAGGATTTGAAAGGAAGGGGCCCTCCATTTTCCCAAGGGATCAGCCTAGTGCCCCCTTTCTGCTCATCTTGATGAGGGGGAAGACTCCCATTATAGATTCCCATGTGGGGAATCAAGATGGCCAGAAAAGGAGCAAAGCACATGAGAGGCTTCAGAAAAACCAGAGCCTAACACAAGCCCTGTCCCAAAGAACTGAGGATCAACTTTTATCCTATTCCACCTGGCCACTCTGGCTGGGACAGAGTCCCATCTGCTGCTTCTGCTTCCTCCCCTGTGCAGGGCCAGGAGGAGCCTAGAAGCAAGTTCCTCTGAGATATGGAGGGCAAACAGAGTGAGGATGCCTTCTCTTCTCTGCCAGGAGCTGCAAGGGGCCAGGAGACTGAAGCAGAAGAGGGATGAGCAAGCTCAGCAGCCCCACAACCCTGTCAGTGGATCCACAAGCTATAGATGGCTGCATGTCGAGGAAGGGGGTTCTGGACCCTGAAATAGCAGCCCCACTGCTGCCCACTGCTGCACCTGCTGTTCTCTCCACTTTCCCTTTGTGCCTGCTCAACAGCTTTTGACTGTATTTGGATTATCTACTTCTACCTCCCAGATCCCCTCCAAGCCTGAGCACCCAGGCCCTGCATCCTGAGCCTCCATCAGAGAGGAGCCTGGCTCTGCTACTCTGTGCAGCCCTCCCTTGCACTTGGCTCTGCCTGGCTGCAGAGGGCTGTAATTTCACAGCCTGCTCTCCTC